CTACATTTTCTATGGTAACAAACTCGGATTGTCGCTACCTAGTAGAAAGTCTTCGAAGCTAGCTCCGGTTATATTCTAAAAATGAGCTCCATTTCCCTAAACCTTCTGTCACATCAAAAAAGTTATTAAAAAAGCTTTGGCTTTCGCTGCGCAAAAGTATTCACTCACTTCGCTTTTTCCCACTCGCATTTGCATGAGTTTTTGCTATAAAACAGAGGTAACGGGCATATTTCGATACAGAAAACAGCCTTTTCATGAAAAACAAATTTTCTATAAACTTCGGACCTTGAGCGAAAACGCAGACTTTCTCATAGAGACTCGGAAACTACAGAAAACGCCGATATTCAGACTCTCTTGGGTAGAAACTAGTTACACAATGTATGCGAGGGTGCAGTCTGAAAAACTGCACCCAGCACTGTAGCTCCAAAATCTTGTTATTTATCGCTCATTGTGAACAGGCTTTAAACTATTTTTGATCTCCTGTTTAGTCATGTCACATGGTAAAAATCGCTAAAATAGTCTATTCGATGCCGAATTTCATTGTCTATCGAATGAAGCTATTTTCAATATGTGTTATGATGTTGGAAGAAATCTTGAGAAAAGTTGAAAATCTTGTTATTTATCGCTCATTGTGAACAGGCTTTAAAGTATTTTTGATCTCCTGTTTAGTCATGTCACATAGTAAAAATCGCTAAAATAGTCTATTCGATTCATATGGGCCGGTAACTTTACATATCGCGGTTCAGTGTTGTTTTCCAGCGAGATCGACATCAAAGTGCGAAAGGGCCAAGCGTGGGGACCTTTCTGGAAAATGAGAGATATCCGGCGCTCAGAAAGAATTTGGACTCGTGTCAGGATTAACATTTTTGGAGCCGCGTGTCTTTCGATACGGCTTATACGGCTGCGAGAGCTTGATCGTCACCCGCAGGCTGGAGAGCAGTTTGAACAGCTTTGCCATCAGCTGCTGTAGAGGAATATTGAACATCAAGCGTGTTGACAAGATATCGAATGCCATTGTCTACAGAAAGACCGGACAAGAATCTCTGGTGTAAACAGTGCAGCGACGCCAGTTGCGATTCGTCGGTCATTTTCTTCGAAGAGATGCGAGGGAATTCATTAACATATACACTCTCTACTCACCGAAACCGAGTCTTGGCAGGCGCAAGCGGGATAGCTCCCGTCTAATGTATCCCTATTACATTGCGAGGCTAATTAACAACGATACACCACCATCTGTAGACGAGATTAGAAAGGCTGCCGCGAACAGAGAGAATTGGTCCAAGATTGTTGTCGCCTGCAAACCTCGACTGTTCGCAGCCGACCGATGATGATGATGAAGTATAGATTTGTATACTATTGATGGAAACGTCAAAGTCATACTCAACAAACACAATAACAAGTGATTATAGTGTTGAAATTTTGAACTATATAATCACACAACTATATATCAGCTTTTCAAGTTGAAAAGTTGATAAAACAAAAAGATTCAGTATATATCGATCTACACTATCATATTCATCGAGATTATCTTTTATTTATAAAATAAATTGCAACGATCATAAAAAACGCATTGTTTTTCCAGCAGTCTTTTACACATATTACTTATCAGTACCTTTTTTTCAGTATTTAGATCGCATTAGTGTGTCAATCGTTAGTTCAATTTGTTAAGGGTGTATCTTGTTCACTCAAAAAAACCATTCAGTTCAATATGATGATCAAAAGAAAACAGACGTATTAGATTTTTTTTGTTATTCTATATAAACTATTTCGTTCAACGATACAAATCACAAATGACGCTAACTACACAAATGACGCTAAAAATATACACTCATGTAATAATCATTGTATTCAATATTTATAGCCGGTTGTCCATCCGTCTAATTTAACGTCATTCATGAACTACTTCAAATACAAATGGAAAGATCAAAAACAAAACGTTAACTGAAAAATTTATTGCTGTTCTCTCGGTCTGTATATTAAATAAAAGGGAAAAAGACGAAAATAACCAAAAAAATTTAGAAACACAATCACAATCTCAATGAAATATACTATGTAAAAAACAGTTTAGAAAAAAAAGTGTGTATGTTCACCAAAACAGGACGGGTTTCTGCCCTATATAAAAACAGTGATCAGTTCGGATATAATTCGTACTCTTACCGTGTTTCGTTTTTACTCATTGGAAAATCTTCATTTTTCATTAATTTATACATTAATTGTCCCATTTTCGCTGGTGAACTACTCACAGTAGCATTGGCTTCTTTCAATGCAGTAATTTTACCTTCAGCTCCACCTGATTTCCCAGAAATAATTGCACCAGCATGATCCATACGACGACCAGGTGGTGCCGTGACACCGGCAATAAATGCCACAATAGGTTTTGCATGAATTCCATTGTTATGCTTTAATAAATAGTCGACTGCTGCCTCTTCAGCATTACCACTAATTTCACCAATTAAAATAATACCTGAATGTAGTTTAAAAGATAAAAATAATATAAACAACCAGTGACATCAGTACCGTGTGTTTCTTTATCTTTGAGGAATATGTTAAGACAATCGATAAAATCTGTGCCGTTAAATGGATCACCACCGATACCGACACACAATGATTGTTCGCCGCCAACTTGAGTCGTTTGATGAACAGCTTCGTACGTAAGAGTACCGCTACGGGACACAATACCAATGTGACCAGGACGATGAATATGATCAGGCATTATACCGATTTTACATTTAACAGGAGCTAGAAACACAATATCAAAAACTTTTATTAGTGATTAGATGAATATTTGACAAAATGAGATCATACCAATAACTGCGGGACAATTGGGTCAAGTAATCTTGATTTATCTTGTCGAACTAATTGATTTTTTACTTTAACCATATCATGCTGTGGAATACCTTCGGTAGTACATACAAATAATGATATTCCAGCATCGATTGCTTCTAGAATTGCTTCGGCAGCTCCCGGTTATGGTACATATATAACAGTTGCCGTTGCACCCGTTTCTTTCATGGCATCGACAACATTTTTAAATACGGGTAAACGGATAGAAAATACCGTTAATATCTCAAAAAACTAAGTATGAGCTCTCAAAAGTGCCCATATTCTAGATGCATAAAGAGATAAACATCTATTTAGTTGCAGTGTAATGGTTGCGCTCACGTAGAGATCACTTCGGTATTTTTATTCGTTCTGATGGGTTTTTTATACTATATGACGCACTTTTGGATGCAGAAAAAGAAAAAGGAGAGAGAGAACGCAAAAAATATACCCATTATGCTATAGAAGCGGTAGGAGTAGCTATAGAAACACGCTCTACTTTGTACAAACGTGTCGAAGCACATATATGTGCTATGCGCTATGCACTTACTACCTGCTTAATTTTAAGGCGAAAGAAGTATTTAAAAATAATATAAATCATTTTTTAAGACTGCTAAGAGCCGCTACGCTTTAATCTGTTCAATTTTTTATCTCCATCAATTCCGTTAAAGTCATTTTCTGAACGTCTTTTTCATGGTTGGCGACTTGGTGAATATGGGCACCAATAAAAAAATTCGACGATGGTGAAAGACTTTAAAAAGTTTTTTCATCTTGGATAGCGGCAACAAACAGTCTATCGGCCATTGATCTGAAAAAAACGCTTAGATCGCGAGATATGAATTTGCCGTACAAGGAGAGAAAAATTTTAAATTTAAAAGATCCCGTTAGTTGGAAAAGTTTTGTCGTTTAAACCTTAATAAATTAATTAATGCGGCTGGCTGTTTCAAAACAGCCGCATTAATTAATCTATTCTGCATTAAATCCTTGCCCATTACATCTTCTAATATTGAAACCTTAATAAATAATTAAAATACGAGGTCTTCAAATACACGGCTTCTAAACTTAGACCTTTATGCATCTTGCAATTCGCTAATCTACTGTCTTCACTTAGTGTATGTTGCTGTGAATACGACCAC